TATTTAATTTTTGCTTTTTCGTTGAATCTCTAAAGCAAATAACACAAATCGAAAATACTAGATGCCGTTATTAACTCATTAAACTATTTAATAACTCATCGAAATATTATGTGAACAAGATCTACATTTTATTTGTTTTTAAATAATCTTTACCTCTCTTACTGTCTAAAGGCTTCAGAAACAACTTTCATTGTCCTTGTTCAGAATGCATATATATTCTGGCTTTGGTGACTTCTATAGATCTTGTTCTTTCAGATTTTTTTTTTTTTCGATTTCAAATCTCCCAGAGATGAATCTATGGATCATTCACCATACTGTTTCGCTTATTATTAAGAGGAATCATTCACCATACTAGTTCAAAGAATATGGAGATGAATCTTTCACCATATTGTTTCGATTATTATGGAAATAAATCTTTCATCATGCTATTTCAAATGATTAGGAGAATTATTCACCATACTTTAATAAAGAAACTTTGCAAACTTTTTTTTTGAAACTTCAAAAAAAAAATTACATAAGGTAGAAGGTGTAATAATGTTGAAGACATTAAAAACACCATCGTAACATTATAGAATTCCGATTGGAAAGCTTTATAAGTTGTTCCTGATATTTCTACAGACAATTGCAGAAGTGTTTTATGTCAGGCGAAGTTTACTTGATAACAAATGGTCCGGTAATTCGCCTAAAATAATCAAAAATTACATCAGTCAAGAGAGTCAACAGCAGTCTTTTGCACTTTTGCTCTTATTTCTGAACTTAGACTGCTTTTTGAAGGCTATTTAACTGATTTTTGAAGGCCATTGTAGTTTTCTTGTAAATAATATGCAATTTTCATAACCGTCGTGAATCTGAGACAGTTATTCGTGACTTCAGCTAGCGCCCTCTATGCTGATTGAGAAAATGGCACAAAGCGTCACTATAAAGAAAAGCCACAGTTTTGAAAAAAGGAAGCGTGCTCTTGAACTTTTTTTTTATTTACTTTTTGAAAAATTATTACTACTCTTCATTGTCTGGACTCACAAAAATTTACTCAAATTGAGAATAAGTACTTGCACTTCAAGAAGAAGTAGATTTTGGATAACCGTACATGTGACCAATGACGTCAGCGCCCGCTGATTGTTTAGATGCAAAATAGCGTGTTAAAGTTGAGCAAAGTTTCACAACATAAGTAAGAATGTTAATTAACGATAAGTTAATTAAATATGGAGCCGTATCACACATCGAATTAGTTGAAATATAATTCTTTCTACTCGACTTCTTTTACTTCATTTAGATTTATTATTTGTCTATGTATTTTTTTTGCAACCTTGATATATTTTTGTTTTTTGTTCCTGTCAACTTCAATATATAATTAGTTTGCTTATGCTCTCCAGGGCTTCATACCTGTCTTTGAGTTAAGTCTCTGTGTCAATATATAGTGAGAAAATTGAAATCGTTGTGAAAGAATTTAGAATGCGTCACTTAAGAGAATTGATAGTTGACGGGCTTGGCTTACTCGAAATAGAACGAAAAGAACAGATGCTAACGTAAACAAATGCCACATTTAAACAACCAATTAGGATCGAGATAACCACACTACGTCACTTGCAGGCATCCCATTATTCGTTGATTTCGATAATTTTCGTTTTAGAAGAAAAATTCTCGTCGTATTGGATTTAAAAAAAGAAGCTTATTTTAAAATATTTAAGTTCTTTGTCCGTTATAAGATCTAAAAATTTTTTAAGGCAAAATAGTAAAGTAATATTACAAAATTATTGTCTCAAGTGTAAGGCACATAAGCTGCTGCGTTTTTATTTATTATCCTCGGTGAAAAAGCCTAGAAAAACACTGTTAATAGAAGTCTGATTCTAATTACCCAATGGTCGACTATATTTCCAATATTGTATTCCAATTTTTAAATGCCATTCAGAAATACACCAAACTAAAATTGTTGCTGTGGGAGAAATATCTGTAAACAGAGCAATCACATCATTGCATGAAATGTAATCTTTTTCATATATTTTAAAAGTTAAGTTAGATCGCCGTATTTTTCCACTTCTCTGAAATTACTTTAAGATACAATAACGAATGCCGAGGAATTTTTAAAATTGCTCGCAAAAAGTTGAATCAAGTAAACAAACCATAAAGCCGCTTTCTTTTTAGCCAAAATGCTGTTTTCAAATATATATGGAAAAAAAAGTCCATTATGTGGCTTCAAATTTCATTTCAGTGCTTAAAGTTAGTCCAAAATTTCCAAATCCAAATGAGGTTTTATTGATATTGCCTCACTTTGGCGCATAAAGGGTTAAAAAATGCCATTAAATAACTAGCATTCATAAACAATCCTTAAGACAAGGAGTACGTGGGAAGAAAATCCTTGAAGGACTTAAGACCCAGTAAGGGGGGAGGACTAAAGGAGAATACGTCCCCCCAATGTTTAAACAGCTATCCCCAAGATTTATCATAGCAATTACATTTAGGAAATAGCATCTCAGGAAAGTGCGCGTAACTGTCGCTAGTGGCAGGAAAAGCATTAAGGGAAAAGCTCTTAGCTGGCTCGGGATTAAGGGAAAACGGGAAAGATTTAGACTCTAGCGACCCGTCCATATAGAGAAGCCGATCTTTCTTGTCCAGAATGAATTGCCTCATAACGTAGGGCGATCTTTAAGCTCTGTAGTTACATGAAGAAGTCTATCATTGGAGTTGGCGACACGATAGCCGCCAAGTTTGGCATCTACGCGATATTTTGAGAAATCTCTCAAGAACATTCTAAAGATTATGGTAATATTTTAAGACTTACATGGGCAATTCCACGAAAATGTCAACCTAGCTTCGAAATTTCTGTTTTAACAAAACACTGATAGTATTGCGTAATATAGGGCAAAACTAGTCTCTAATAATGTAAATATGTCTTATGTACTAATAATGTCTTTTATTGCACTAATATTATATAATGTGCAAATAATGTATTTTGAAACATTTCTCAAAGTATAATATGAGATTTTTTTTCTAAAATAAAGAATTTAAAAAAACAAGCATTGAAATGAAGTAGTTTTCAGAATTTTTAGAAATATTCAGTATAATTCTATATTTATTTTTTTTAAGAAAAGAATATTAAAATGCAAAGGATTTTAATTGCCATTTATTATATTTTGTCAGTCTATGGATGGTGGTAACTGTACATTTTGCATTATAAAATTGTATAGAATTTAAAATCTTGATTTATCTATTTTAATAATACAGAGCGTTAAATTGTTCATTAAAAAATTCTGAGTAGCTGCCATAATTCTTTCATATATTTTGTCTATTAACTTATATGCTGTGATCGACCCATTATTTTCGAGAACATTTTCTAATTTAAGAAATATAATCTGTTTATTCTGTTTCACAAATTATTGAGTTTCACACTGCAAAATCAAATAACATAATATTTAATTTGTTTCGCATATGAAGAAGATATTAAAGAAATTTAGAAATATCAATTAGTTGCCTGATCGCCAATCAGTTGCTACAATGTTTCAAATGCTGTCATTCTAGCAAAGTTTTACAACTCAAATGCCACATCCATCAGTCATTTTGGGAGATCTAATGACACTTTATTTAAATTTAATTTAAATTTCAATCGAATCTTCTTGTATCAGAAGTTTTCTTATAGGTTGTATTGATGTTAGTAACAAGTTTTAAACAATTGCATTGTGTTTAAATTATCCAAAAAGTAATCTATAGATTTAATTATACCAGTGGGTACGCGAATCTATTCAAAGATATACACCGAAGAGCCATTAAATTATGACCACCCTGTTAATAACATGTAGGACCACCTTTAGCCCTCAAAACTGCTAGCACCCGCCGTGGCATTGATTCCACAAGGTGCTGATAGGTAGTCTGAGGTATCTGGTACCAAGCGCTCACCAACTGGTCCTGCAATTCCCTCACATTGCGAGGGGGTAGCGTGGCAGCACGAATTTGGTTTTCCAAGTAGGACCACAAATGCTCTATTGGATTAAGGTCAGGTGAATTTGGGGGCCAAGACATGACTTGAAAGTCACTGGAATGTTCCTCGAACCAATCCATGACGATTCGACCCTTATGACATGGTGCATTATCCTGTTGGTAAACACCATCCCCCGCAGGAAAAACTGTTGCCCTGAATGGGTGAACCTGGTCTGCAACTATGTTCAAGTAGCTTACAGACGTCAGAGATTGTTCTATGAGGATTATGGGTCCTAATGTGACCCGTGAAAATATTGTTCCTGGGCGAGAAACCATGAAAACCTGGGCGAGCCCATTGTTATACATGGAGGATGGTCATAATGTAATGGCTCTTCGGTGTACATGTTTACACTGTGATAACAGTTTATACATATATTTGACAGAAATTGTTTTTAAAAAAAAATATGAACTGAAAACTTTCAAGTTTTAAAAAAATTTCGTCAAAAATCTTTCATAACTCATAAAGTATTTCTCTTAACCCTAAAACATTATCACAACATACAACTGATACAATCTCAAATATCCCCAAAACATTTCAAAGCGATATCATAAGTAGTTTCTCAGAAAAGGTACATAGAGAAAAGGTCAGTTTTAGCATCAGTAATGCATGTCTTGCCAACTCCTCTTAAAAGGGAGACCTCGAATAAGCTAATTGCTTAGCACTCACTACTCATTAAGTGACGGAATTAAACACTAAAACGAACTTTTTCGGTATCAACTTGCTAATTTTTAGACGGATTTGTAATCTTGATCATCAAAATATGAGGATTAGCCGCAATCTAGAAAGCATAGTATGGCCAAAAGATATGTCAAGGTATTAATAGTTAAGGCAAGCGAGCTGTCGAAAGTTTGCATATTTTGGGAGCTATTGAATCGAATCAAAATATTTTTGCACTCAGTTATAAAATTCGCTTATCTAACGATGCACAGGCATGCTCCATGTAAAAAATAATTTCAACTTTTAAAAAAAAAATTATAAAAAAAAGTACCTAAAGTTAAAAAATTAATAAAACATTAAAAGTACTTACGTCTAAGGTCGGGATATGCGACACAGTAGACATCTCTTTAACAATGGGAGATTGGAAACTCATACGAGATACATCCTAAGAAATGAAAGAAAAACATTTTATAAACCATAAATTAGCATACACTGAAGCATTGTTGCAATGAAGGGAAGGAAAAAGGCACTAAAATTTTTTACGCAGTAAATTATTAATAAAAAATTGCTATTTGACATAAATAAATAGAATGTACATTTAATTTAATGCAGAAATGTATTTTGCATATTGTCTTTTCAGTTAATAGATTTTCTTTAAGAATGGCCTCTAACAAAGATTTAGTCAGGTTTCTAATTACATTTGCAAGTTGTTCAATAACCATGGTTTTTAGTACACCAATTAATTTAATAATTTTAAGAATCCTGGTTGGTTTTTTTCTGTTTTTATAAGGTATAAAAATTGAGAAAAATAGACAAAAAAATTGCAAAAAATAAAAAAATGAATTTCCCATTAAGAATTATAGTTTTGTAACGGAGGATTATTGGTAAGCGTCTCCTTGTTAAAGGTTTAAACGCGTTACTTTATCGTGGTTTTTCTTTCTACATAGCACCATCGGAGATAGTTTCAATAAAAAAAAAAATTCACGAAGGCGAGTTTTTTTTTTTTTTTTTCAAAGCTTGATTCACGAGTTTTCTGGTATTTTGAGTTGCTTTCAAAACTACAGAACTACAAATTACAAAACTACGCTAGTAAATGAAGAAAAAAAATATGGTAAAACTACCTTAAATGTTAATGGCATTTCTGGTGAGGGAAAGAAGCATAATTCTGCTTAATAAATAGTATTCAAACAATTCTTTCTGGTATACGGTATCAAAACAATTTTGTTGGTATTTATTCCATTCATTTGGTAACGGTTCGCCCGAAATTCTGGTTTTCAAAATTATAGTTCATATTACCTCACATATTTAGTAAAAAATACAAAACTAAAAAATCCAATTAATCAAATAAATGGTTTTACGACTAGCTTATCAAATTTTACCACATTTACCGAATTTCATAACACATTATAAAACCATGTTTCATTGTTAATTTTTACCAAAATCGTTACCAAATGCACTTCGGTAAATATTATTGAACTTTTTGGTGTTCCCACACAGCAAGAAACACGACAAATTTTACCACATTTTGATAGTTTTGATCATACTTTTTTTCCTAGTGCAACTCTGAGATCGTAAAGGATTGACCACTATTGCTGATTATAGAATTTATGGGATTTCAAAATATTTGAACTTTTTTTGTGAAACAGTATTTGAGAGTTATTCTGTTAAAAATAACTGAAAATATAAATTTGTATTTTAAAAAGTGCTATGCCTTTTTTTAAAGAAAAATCCATTTAAATAGATTTAAATAAATTGTTTAAAAAAGCATTTGTTTTTAAACATGCATGGGGTATTTGTTTAAAAACATATTTTGAAACTTTTCTTAAAATGCTCGCGAACACATCAGATTCTTTTTTTCCTAAAGCAAAAACATTCGAAATTCAGAACCATCCAAAAATAATAACACATACAAAAAAAAAATGTACAGTTATTCCGTTGCACAACAACAAACATCCCTAACATCAACATTTTTCCCTATTTTAAGCACAAAAAAGAAGGAAAAAAAGACGATACAGATATTCCTTGGCCCGCTCTTCTTTTTGGGGGTACTAGAAAGAATGTACAGTAATACTGCCAATACTTCTCGGGAGCGCACCTCAGAATCAAAATAATAACAGGAAAAAAAAAACAGGAAAGAGAGAAAGACGAAGTAAAGGGGAAGAAAACCGGATAAATCCCGGCGATTTATTCGGGATAAAGAAAGGGACGAAGAGTTATTTGACTGCGTTTCGTTGTTAAAATGGATTCTGCTCCTTTTTTTCCCGATTGGGGCGAGATGGTAAAATAATGACGATTTCAGGTCCAAAAGGGGGCCATTATGTAAAACTTTTCGGGGGGTCGACTGTAAAATGAGTTTCGAAAAGATTTCGAACAAAACGAGATTTTTGGAAGAGGCTACCATTTAGCTGCGACAAAATGTAACTCAATGTGATGTAGTAAAATTTATTCCCTTCCCTTGGGGAATAATTTTGTTTCATAGTTGCTTCATTGGCTTAGTAGATAAAAAATGTAGTAAAAGTTACTTTCATTGCTTTTATTAGCAACTTTTTATTTGTAATTTGGATTTTGATGAAAATTTACAATTTTTAATAAGTTTCTCGCCTGTTATTTGTAAAGTCGTTAGAATTCCCGAATTATCTAGTAGTAGTTCTCGGCTGAGAATTTTTTTCTTCGTTATTTTCAAAATAAATACATTTAATTTATTAGTGTTATAATTTTTTTCCTTTTAAAAAAAGTATAGTACTAAAATCATTCATACGCTTATAGGTTTATGCATCATATCGTTTAAGGTCAAGTTTGTCATATAGTGAGATAGATTTGTAAAATCAGTCACAAAAATTAATATTCAAACGATGGAAAACAAACACGCTATCTGTTAAATTACTATTGACTTAAGTGGGGCATCAAAACTATTTTAATTGCCAGATGAAACTTGGTGGCATTTCTATGACTCGTTTTTAAATTTCTATCTCCGACAATCGTTGATGTTTTTCGCTTCAGTATGGATTCATTAGATTTATAAAGTGTTCTTGTTTCCATTTTCATTGGTAGCGAAGAATCTAAAAATTATTATTGATGACTATTTTGAAAAAACTATTTTTGACGAGGAATCTAAAAAATTTTTTCTACGAACAAATTAAAAAATATTTATGACGAGGAACTAAAAAACAATTTTCGATTAAAAATTAAAAAATTATTTTTGACGAGGAATCAAAAAATTATGTTTGACGAGGAATCAGAAAATTATTTTCGACGAACAAATTAAAAAAATATTTATGACGAGGAACTTAAAAACAATTTTCGATTAAAAATTAAAAAAATTATTTTTGACGAGGAATCAAAAAATTATGTTTGACGAGGAATCAAAAAACTATTTTCGACGAACAAATTAAAAAATATTTATGACGAGGAACTTAAAAACAATTTTCGATTAAAAATTACTTTTGATGAGTAATCTAAAAATTATTTTTGACGAGGAATCAAAAAAAAATTTTTGACGAACAATTTAAAAAATATTTACGACGAGGAACTTAAAAACAATTTTCGATTAAGAATTCAAAAATTATTTTTGACGAGGAATCAAAAAATTATTTTTGATGAGTAATCTAAAATTATATATTCAGGTCGGTAATAGCGAAATACCATGTATTCCGCATTGAAACAAAAGGTGGATGGGGAAAAAAAGAAACAGAAACAAATCTCATTTGTTATTGTGCATATGTAACAATCGACTAAATTCGGGGCGTTGCACCTGAATTTAATGTAATTAAATATTTACTTGAACGTAATTAGATATTTCTTAAAAAATAATTAATGTATCAGGATTAATTTAAAGTTTACAGAACAATACCTTCCTCACTTAATTCAATTTAACAAAACGATTAGGACTCTAAAGCAGTTCTAAAATTATTCTAAATTTAAATAATTACACTCATTGTATTGTGGCACAATAATAATATACATATAATACTTTTTCAAATAATTACATTTAAAAAATTGAATCAAATTGAAATACTTTATAATTTGTGGTATTATTTTTTATAATTTATGTGGTATTCATTAAAAGATTTACCCCTGGGAAATATTATTATTTGATAAACTGTTTTTAACAATATTATTTTACATTTTATAATTGTATTTACAATTTAAAATATATAAAGTATTAAAAGATCTACAAAGTCTACGTCAAATTAAATTTTGTATCTTAATTTAATTTTTTTTAAATTATCGAATTATGATTCAGTAATTATTTAATTATATTAAATTCGGGTTCAACGGCTCCAATCCAGTTGGTAGTTAAATTTATACAATAAGTTAAGGTACGTTTTTTCCGGGCTTTTCCTTCAGGTACGTTTTTTTTTCCGATGCCCGCTTTTCTTTTCTCTTCTCTTTTTTTTTTTTTTTTTTCTTGTTTCACGGAACACCTTTTATAAAAGATTTATTATATTTTCCGAACATCATATTTCTCTTAAAATAAATATTATTTTCCAACAATACAAGCTTCAAAACCTGTTTGATTAATGAATAAATGATAAACAAATTATATTTCTGAAAGAGAGGGGGGAAAAAACTCAATTTTATAACATCAAAATATGTAATATATATCCTTTAACCCAATATCTTGGCAACGTAAAAAAAGCAGTTCTAAATCTCCATTTATATGCTGTAGGGGTTATTTAATTACGGCCCTCACTTCAATATCGGATAGACATCATGTTCTCTTTTCCTCCACCCCCACATTCTCTTCTGCTCCTGACACGGGGTATAAGCTGGGGTAGTAATAAGCTAAAGCTATCTTAAACAGGAAATGCCCGAACCATAGGCATGCCAATATAACCCCTCGCGTCAAACGCTTCATATTATACACGTCTCCCAACCTATGTGGGCTGGAAAGAGGGTATTCAGGTAATAATGTCCTACCCCCCCCCCTTCCTACACGTCAGTGCCCGGGTCGCAGCCCGATGGCGCAATGCCGGGATACGTAACAAATCTGTGGGAGAGTGATTGAGCACATATTCCATCCGCTATCCATTGATCCCTTCTACACTACTTTCCGCGATGATGGAGAACTATGGAGGGTGTTTCTTTTTTGGCGCTCTATCGCTTTCTTTGGCGAGGAAGAGAAACTTTTTAAACTTTTCTACTGAAATGATTTTTGAAATGTTGTTTCAATTAAAACTTAAAAGAAATGTTATTATCGTACTTATAGAGTATAAAATTCGAATGTTTCAATAAATTTTGAGACCCAGGGTCCAATTTATGAGCAACAAGGGGTAAAATTTTACCACTAAAAAATTAATACTTTTATATATTTTGTACGATTTTACAAAGCGATTTTCGATGTTGAAATATTATATTTACCCTCGTTGGTGGATTTCTTTAATAGCAATAAAACATTATAAGAAAGATAAAAAATTCGCTTCAAATAATTTTTAGAGCAGTTTT